AGTGTTGCAGACCATTATCCCTGTTGGACCCCTAGTGTTTGCTGAACATCATCTATGTTGAGACCCCTAGTGTTCACTGACCATCATCCCTGTTGAACCCTAGTGTTTGCAGACCATTATCCCTGTTGGACCCCCTAGTGTTTGCAGACCATTATCCCTGTTTAATCCTAGTGTATACTGATCATCATCCCTGTTGGACCCCCTAGTGTTTGCTGACCATCATCTCTGTTGTACCCCTAGTGTTTGCTGACCATCATTCCTGTTGGACCCCCTAGTGTTTGGTGACCATCATCCCTGTTGGACCCCCTAGTGTTTGCTGACCATTATCCCTTTTGGACCCCATAGTCTTCGCTGACCATCATCCCTGTTGGATCCTTAGTCTTAGCTGACCATCATTCCTATTAGCCCCTCAGTGTTTGCTTGGCCATCACCGCTGTTCGACCCATAGTTTTTGCTGACCATCATTCCTGTTAGACCCCTAGTCTTTGCTGACCATCACTCCTGTTGGACCACCTAGTGCTTGCTAACCATTATCTTTTTTTGACTCCCGAGATTTTGGTGACCGTCTGTCCTGTTGGACCAACAAGGATAATTACATTCTGTCACTGTGTAAGCTGTCTTCATGAAAGTCCAGTCAAATATTTCACTAGGTGAGATCACTGAGCAAGTGGCAACACTCATTATATGGATTTATTGTGTTTAAGATTCAATTTTGATAAGAACATCAAGTACATCAGTATTTGTTCAATGAAATTAGACATCCCTTGCCCCTGTATATAAACGGCATCCTTTTGTTCAAATGACAATGTTTTTTCATTTGTTCATTTTTATGAGTCTCTTATACAAGAAACACGCCTTCTTTCGTTTGTCATGGAATCTCTTAAACATTGATTTTTATAAAACCTTTCAAAGGTAACATAGTGGTTGTCGCATCAGACTCATGATCAGTAGACCCAAGTAGGCTGAACATCAAAGGGTCGACCCCCACCCTGGGTCAGTGTGCCACAGACTCAATGGGAAGGCCAATTCACTGGCCGAGATTCATTCACTAACGAATGCGACTTTGGGGGAACCTTGGTTGAGGTCTGCATGTGCTTGTGTTTGACCGGGCCAGGTTGACGCCAGGATAGCACATTACAAATTGCCATTTGACAGAGAGATGGCCACACATCCCTGTCATGTCGTCCCAAACATGAATATGACTTCTGTGGCAAAATGCACTATGTGTCGTCACTAACACTTGCAATTTGCACATACAGAAAAAAAGTCACTGTCGCCTGGCACAAAAAATATTTAAAGAAAAAAAAAACTTTTCATGATAATTTCAAAACCCCTGGATCACTGACTAGGCAACCCTGTTAGGCCGCCAGAGTCGGGTGGGTGATTGTGGCCTGGACATCTAGTCAGTGGGTGTAAATATCGTTCACTCTTACAACATTCAACTTGAGAACTGCTTATGTTAGAATGAACAATTGCGCATTAATGTTGTATCCGTCTATTGACACATTTTTCTCTTCGTTGTCTTGGTGATTTTCTGCTTTGGTTATTTTTTAGAGAATGTTGATTGTGTTCATATACACCGTAGATGTGAACTTAATGACTAGTTTATTACTATGTATTATTGAAATCGTGGCTCATAAAAAATACAAACCTTTTCAGCTATTCAGAGTGTGTTCAGTTCGTTGCACCAAATGATAGACGAAATGTCTGGAGACTGTCATCAGTCCATCTTGGGATTTCAGCTGTTTTCACCGAAACCGCTGGACCGTTTTGGCGTGGAATGTCCAATGTGTTATTCGTACAACACTTGTAATTGTCAACTGTGGTTCAAAAAATATATGTTTAAATGTTTGAATAAACATATTGGATGGTATACGTACAGGCTTTACATGTATATAAGTTTCTCCCCAATAAAATAATTTACTGCACAATTAAATAAAATAATCATCTAAAATTGCCAGTAGTAATTTGGCACGATGCTTTGTTCGACGCGTGTGTAAGAAATGCTATCTACGAGTCACATTGCTGTCACCATGGAGAAACGGCTAATATTGTATAGGTTAATATCTTTGTAAACAGTAAATGACACGAATTTTAGCAAATTACATACTAGTATTCACCTGGTATAAATACAACTCCGTCGGTTCGATGACATGACCACTCCGATTTAAAGGATGGTGGTTATTGTTACTGTATTTGGTCGATGTGAGTCCCATACTATGCATAGTAACATGCAAGGCAAATGAGTTAAA